GGCTTGAATCTGTTTTGTTGTTTTCATTTGCTTGTTTTTGTTTTGTTTTTTTAATGTTTTATTGTGATTCTTAAAATGTCTAGATAGATTTTCAAGGCCTAGTGCTGTGGTAACTCCCTGTAGTCACATTTAGCTGGGAGGCTGAGGAGGATCACCTGAGCTTAGGAGTTCAAGGCCAACAGAATTAGGAGGGATCAGTCATAAGGAGTAAAATGGACACCCATGGAGTCCATGCCTTCCTTTCCCCTAAGAGGTGACCAGCATCTCTCTATCTTAAAAATGAAAATACTGATTATTTCTTTTCAGAGGGTCCAGATATTTGTGCTCAGATGTGAAGACATAGTAACATATAAAAAATAGAACACCCATCTAGATTTTTTTTTAATTTTATTTATTATGTAAACAGTGTTCTTTCTGCAAGTTTGCCATATGCCAGAAGAGGGCATCAGATCTCATTATAGATGGTTGTGAGCCACCATGTGGTTGCTGGGAATTGAACTCAGGACCTCAGGAAGAGCAGACGGTGCTCTTAACCTCTGAGCCATCTCTCCAGCCCCCATCTAGATTATTATTGGGAAAATACTCTTGGTTTTTGAATGAAATATGATCTGAGGCTCGGATTTTAAGGAAACAAAATTATAGGGCTGGAGAGATGGTTCTGATCTTCCAGAGGACCCAAGTTCAGTCCCCAGCGTCCATATCTGGTGGTTCATACCTTCCTGTAACTCCAGTTTCAGCGGTGGGACACCCTCTACTGGCCTCTGCTAATAAATTAGCGGCATCTGCTCATAAATATGTGATACACATACAGACAAGCAGGCATTCATATACATATAAAAATAAATCAGTCTTTAAAAAAAGAAAACAAAGGGCTGGAGAGATGGCTCGGTGGTTAGAAGATGCACTGCTCTCGTTTGGTTCCTATAGCTCACATTGAGCAGTTCACATGTACCTTAACTCCAGCTCCAGGGAGATTGAGCCTCTGTGGACACCCGCATGAATTTTCGTATATTCCTGCCTCCATGCATATAATTAAAAAGAATATAAGTCTTTTTTAAAAAAGAAACAAAATTGTGTTTAAAAATTCACTAAAATATGACATGTCATAAAAATATTTAGTAGATAATTTTCTAGTTTTCATACAAGAACAAAATGATTACTATGCATATCCTTTTGTTGGTTTGGTTGGTTTTTTTTCGAGACAAGATTTCTCTGTGTAATAGTCCTGGTTGTCCTGGAACTCTGTTTGTAGACCAGCTGGCCTCGAACTTACTGAGATTCACCTGCCCCTGCCTCCCGAGTACTGGAATTAAAGACGTGAGCCACCACCACTCAGCTCACTATGCATATTCTTTTATTTATTTGCTTATTTTTATTTTTTAAATGTTTATTGAAAATAAATTCTTTTCTCACATAATATATCCTGATTATGGTTTCCCTTCTCTCTACTCCTCCCAGTTCTCCCCCACCTCTCCTCCCATCTGGATCCACTCCCTTTTTGTCTCTCATTAGAACTACGGATATTTTTTGTGTGCTTTTATCTATTATCATTACTATTAATCTTGGAAATTGAGTACTGAGCTTTGTAAGAGAAGATCCATGCTGAGGCTCTTAGACGAGACCTCCAGCAGTCCTGAGCAATCCTGGCTACCAGGAGAGCCACACTATCCATTGCATCTGCTGCAAGAAGCCAGCCTTCTCCGCTCATGGGGTCCCTTCACAGAACAGGTCTTCTTTCATGACTTCGCTTGTGGAGGGTAGTTGAGAGAATTGCAGAAGAGGGTTCTGGAACATGGTAATGTAGGGGATCCTTGCACTGAGGAACAGACACTGGATACACAATTGACTCTGTTCTCCTCTCAGGCTTAAAGGGCCATTGGATTTTTGGAGGAGTTTTCAAAGCTCTCTACTCCCGGTCCCTTTTCTCCCTTGAGAATAAGGAACATTGTAGACACTGTGGGACAGTTTTATGTGCTTGTTTAGATGGATCTGGGGACTGTTGACCATTTCTAGTCTTATATTTGGTTTGTCTCTGTCTTCATTGGCTTCTTGGGTTGACAAGTGTCTAACTATTGGATGGGAAGTGACAGTTAGCTGTGTGCCTGGGTATCCCAGTATGGAGGCCTTGACCATGCTGTGGGTGGTTTTAGAAGCCTTTGCATTTTTCTCTGACATCTCTGTCTCCTTCTCATGATCCAGAGTAACTAGAATGTGAACACAGGAGAAAAAAAATATTGGAATGGTTGCTGTAGTTTCCAAACAAATGACCTCATTGTCTGAATTCTGCTTTGTGCAAAAGAAACCTTAACTTTGCCTTATAAAAAGTAATGGATCTTTGGGGAAACAGATCCAAATCCCCATTTAGTGTGTGTAGTGGGGTAGGGAGGGAGGCTGGAGCTGACTCTACAGACAGAATATAACTAACATAACTTAACTCTGTTACACCAACGTAATAATGATTGCCAAAGAGACACAGCAACTCAGATTGATAAAGACTGACGGCCCCTTCCTCAAAGTCAGCAAGTCATTATACTTTGTGGAAGCCAATGTCGTGTGAAGTTTATTCAGCTCTGTGTTCCCAGAGTGAAGAGAGTTGTCAAATTTTGTATTAGCAGAGTGCCTTGGGCTTACCTCATCTCTTTACCTTATTTCCCATTTTACAGGTGAGCTGTTCTGGCATCCATGGGTTAGGCATAAGCTGCTGGGTTGCAGTAGTTAGTCAGGACCAGCTGCAGCTAAAATCTAGGAGGAGAGGCAACTGTTTAGAGGATTATGTTCAACATATAATTAGGTGAAGATTTAATTTAAGAACCCAGACCATAATCAGAAGCCTCATTTCCTACAGAATGAGCATTTTGATTGTCTTTTTCATTTCATCAAAATGAAATGGGACAGGAGTCAGTCTGCCATTCTTTAAGATGTCCTAATTTTGATGGTCCTCAAGCATCTCCTGGGATGGGTTCAGGTCCCTTGAATCTCATCTCTGGTTTCCAAGCATTTCCTGGGATGGGCTCTCGTCCCTTGAATCTCACCTATGGTCCCCAAGCATCTCCTGGGATGGGTTCAGTTCCCTTGAATCTCATCTCTGGTTTCCAAGCATTTCCTGGGATAGGCTCTCGTCCCTTGAATCTCACCTATGGTCCCCAAGTATTTCCTGGAATGGATTCTAGTCCCTTGGCTCTCATATCCATTAATTTTTTTTAATCTCTGTGACCACAACATCTGACAGAAACAACTTTCCTTCAGGGAGGAAAACTAACATTTGGCTCACAATTTTAGAGAGGTTCATCCTGTCGTGGTGTGGAATGCAAGGTGGAGTTCACGGTGGTAGAAGTGTATGTCAGAGCCTCCCCACTTCGTGATGGATCAGAAAGAGGGGACAGTTCTACTCTTCAAACACATGCCACTGTTGACTTAATTTAGCTACCCCCCCCACCTCCTTCAGGGTCCACAGCTTCCTAAAGTAGCACTAGCAGCCAGGGGATCAAGAATGAAACATTAGCCTGTGGTGAACATCTCAGATTCAAGGTTCTCCCACGTCTGCCAACTTGAAGTGCAGGGCTGGCTGGAATGTTTTCTCTTGGTCTGTGTTCTTTACATCTCAAAGATGCATATTTGGTTTTTATATCTTTAGATTTCTTGCTGAAGGATTTAGATAATCTTCTTCCATGCACACAAAACAGTTGTTTTTTTTTTTAACTCTGATTTTTTTTTTTTTAAAGGAAAACCAGGAACCTCAGTTTGGCTGGTGTAGGTCTTTTTGGACTAGAGAGGAGGGGAGAAGGAGGGAAGAGAGAGAGGGAAAGAGAAAGGGGGAGAATATGAATGAATTAGAGAAATGGTTAAGATTCGGAACTCCTCCCTTGTCTCAAGCCAGACAGAACAAGGATAATGTTTGTTTAGACATGGAGTTTTATTAGGACGGTAACTGCCTGTTGTTGGTTCTCATCCCGTGCTGCTGATTTGGGGCAAGGCCTGTTTGTGTTCTGTGCCTTGGCATCATATCTGAACTGAGCACCTCCAGCCACTGGTTTCCCAGGGTCCCTGGGACTCTGAGCGACTATACTTGGTCTGCAGTGGGTAGATGGAGTCTCCTTCTCAGGCTGAAGACCGGAAGTTTGCCAGCTCCGAGGCTGCACTGTGCCTGGAGACCAGAAATTCCACTCCTCCCTCTTCATAGTCTGAAATCCAATCAGGAGTGTTCACTGTGGTGAGGATGTTGCTCCCCTGCTGTGATCCTTCATCTTGATTGCCAGTTTGATAGGATTTAGCATCACCATGGAAACAAGCCTCTGGGCATGTCTCTGCCAGGGTTTCTAGACTGGGTTACCTGAAGTGGAGAAACCAGTAAATGTGGGTGACACCATGCCATGGGCTGGAGCCCTGCACTGAATAAAAAAGTGAGATGAGCACTAGCATTCGTCTCTCTCGGCTTTCCGATTGGATGCTGTGGCTTTCTGTGTCCTGCTCCGGTTGCCATGATGTCTTCACCTGATGGGCTGTGCTTTGGAAAATGAGCCAGGATAAGCAGAATAAGCCTTTTCTCCATTAGGCTCTTCTTATCAAGTATTTTGTCACAGCCATGAGCAAGTAACTAATACTTTGTTTTTCTTTTTTTGGTGATAGGGTCTCTCCGGGTAGCGCTGGCTGTCCTGAAAATAGCTCTGTAGACTAGGCTAGCCTCCAACTCAGGGTTCTGCCTGCCGCTGCCTCTCAAGTGCTGGGATTAATGGCATGTGCCACCACACCTGGCTCACTAAGACATTTCTTTTCTTTTTTTTCTTTTTTTTTTTTTTTTTGGTTTTTCGAGACAGGGTTTCTCTGTGTAGCTTTGCGCCTTTCCTGGAACTCACTTGTTAGCCCAGGCTGGCCTCGAACTCACAGAGATCCGCCTGGCTCTGCCTCCCGAGTGCTGGGATTAAAGGCGTGCGCCACCACCGCCCGGCCCAAGACATTTCTTAATGAGGTCTCTGAACTGGCATTTGTGTTTCCTTTGCCAGTGCGCTGCTGCAGGGTAACATCTGGACTGGAATCGAGGCCCCTCTGGTGCTTGGATGTCCCTAAATTCCTGGATCAGCTTGTTGAAGACCGTGAGTAATGTTCATGTTGCTATTTCATGAGCCTAAAGAGATTGTGAGCAGCAGTTAAAGAGTTCATCCAGGCCTGGTTGATGGGCTCATTCCATGCAGGCACAATTGACCTTCAGCCATTGGCTGTGTGTGCCCTATAATAACTATGAATTTGGCTCAATACAAATCATGAAATTACTTAAAACATACGACTTTTTTAGTGATATCTATCTATCTATCTATCTATCTATCTATCTATCTATCTATCTATCTTTTGATAACACAATCACATGGTACTCCAGTTTGAACTTTGTAGATAACAACATTATGTTACAATGTCAAAAGGTTGAATGTGCCTACTAGGGCCAGGCTCTCTTGTGTCCAGTTCCAAAAGCCTTAGAGATGGCTGCTGAAAATCTGCATGTGACCTTTCTGTCCTCACCACCAGCCACTACCAGAGCTAAACATACCATCTCTATCGTCCTGTCTCTTCCCTTCCCTTTCACCATACAGCCACACTGGCTATTGCTTCTGGTCTATAGCAGGACAGTCCATATGATGGCAGATGCAGGTACCATGGTCTCCCTAGGAACCGTTTCCCTGGGGCATATGCATACCTCCTCATTCAGCCTGTTCCATCCTACTGCCACATCTTTCCCCACCCAAGAGTTCACACGTCTCTGTCTGTCTGTCTGTCTGTCTGTCTCCTTCTCCATCGTTAAAGAATCTTTCTTTGTACTTACCACAATGTAGATGCCTTCTTCTATCAGTCAGTTGGTAGACTGCCCATTCATTTGACACTTAACTTATTATTTTTTTTTTTTTTTTGGTTTTTCGAGACAGGGTTTCTCTGTGTAGCTTTGCGCCTTTCCTGGAACTCGCTTTGGAGACCAGGCTGGCCTCGAACTCACAGAGATCTGCCTGGCTCTGCCTCCCGAGTGCTGGGATTAAAGGCGTGTGCCACCACCGCCCGGCGACACTTAACTTATTAAGTGCACACCAGCCATTCAGAGTTGACATGCTGTCATGGAACTCAATCCAACAAGAAGGAAGAGGTCACATCAAAACCCAAGTCAACTATCAGCCCTATCTGAGTAGACTGCGGGGTTCTAAGTACCCTCAGGCAAAGTTGCTAAGGTACCTTGTTAAATTTCCAGTTCTCAGGACATATTCATGTACTGAAATATCACAGTGCATTCCATTATTGTTCAGTTAATATGGTTTTTGTTTGTTTTTCAAGACAGTTTTTCTCTGTGTATCCCTGGCTATCCTGGAACTCATTCTGTAGAGCAGGCTGGCCTCAAACTCACAGAGATCTGTCTGCCTCTGCCTCCTGAGGGGTGGGATTAAGAGCGTGCGCCACCACCGCCCAGCTCAATTAGTATGTTTTCATAATTAAAATAAACTGTAGATCCTGCTGTGGGAGGACTGGGTGAGGCCTAAGAGTCAGCTGTGCTTATAGACCATATTTGGAGAAATAATGCCTATTGCTCTGAAGTTCCCAGCACAGTGATTTGTCATCATCGAGTGTGACTTAGTGAACCCCCTGACGTACGTACGTACGTACATACGTGTGTGTGTGTGTGTGAATTTGCTGAAGGCCTGGCAGGACTTTGTCTTGTGTTTTATGTCTGGTACTTGTTCCTTACCTTCATTACGGCTGTTGTAGGTTGTGGTCTTAGCTTCTGGATCCTTTCTTCAATATCATGCCGCTCGGATTGATGCCTTGAAACCCTCCAAGGCCTCTGTGCGGTGGGTATGCTGTCTGTAGCTCTTAAAACAGCTGGGGTTTTTCCATTTGGAAGAGCAGGCAGCATCGGCTGGCCTTACGCAACACGGGCAAGTGACTCTTAGAGGCTCAGACACCTTAGAGCAGGTAGGGTGAGGGCCTGAGGGGCATTGCAGGAGGGAGGTGTGTGACAGGAGGGGCTGAAAGGGGAGCCCCGAGTCCATGTGATGAGTGCACCCTGAAATCATGCCTGATTCCCACGTAGTAGTGTTGGCTGCACGGCTGGCCAGTCACCTCCATAGACACTTCCAACGTATCTGGTTCCTGTTTTCTAAGAACGAAACCGATTCTTCTTCTGAGCCGTTGACTGTTCAGAAAGCCATGTATGGAGGCCTTGCAGCATCCGAGGTGCTGGGCTGAGCATCTGGTGCCCAGTCTTGCAGCTTAACTCTCCTGCTGTCCAGGTGGCAGGTGTACCCACTGTTTAGGGAGGCCTCGGATGAAGGGACTCACTTGGGTCACACTGCAGGAGTGTGGTAGCGGGGTGAAACAGCCTGGATTGTTGGTCTCACATGGGGCTCCTTCTGCTCTTCACTTCCTGGGCCATGAGTCAAGTCATTTTTCTTTGAGGCAGGTTATCCGTAGTGCAGCTGCTGCCAACTCCTGGTAGTCCTCCTGTCTCAGCTTCCCATGTACTGGGAATAGAGGCTTGTGCAGTGACCCTGACTAGAAATACGGTTTTGTGGACAACAGATAGTGGGTTGCTCATTATTTACTACTCATTTGGATTTTGCTCCCTCATACCTTCAGCATGTCCCTAGGAAGGACCTTCCCAGGGAGACAGTTTTAAATTATGTTGGTCCTTTTCGTTAGGTTCGGCCTCGGGTGGTGTGGTACTGTGTTGTGCGACTTTTGCTGAGGGGATGTGAACAAATGCCTAGTCACTGCAGGTAGGGCACAGAAGGCAGATCACAGGAGTGATTCCACTGATGTCCAGCTCAGTGGACTAGTGAGTTTATTGGGGTTACTGACATGAGCATGGGTGACGCAAAAGCAGCTGTATTCCCCGAGAAGCTCGCCCTAATAAGGGTGACATCTCATGAAAGCTGCATTCCTGGAACTCCTTGGCCAACTTGTAGGTAGCTTGGTTGTCTGGAGAGTCCCTTCTCCCGAGCAATTGCTTGCTGTTTTTTAGAGGAACCTTGTGAATTGTGTAACTTTCAGGATCTTCCTGAGCCTTGCCAGTTGCTTCTACTTTCCCAGTCTTAGGGCCTTCTCCCTCCTTCTGGGAAGGGACTGTTTCAGTTCAGAAGAAATCGCTATCTGGTAGTCAGATATAAACAGGAAAGAGAGGTGTAAATTTGGGGGGTGGGTGTTTTGTACTGCCTCTGCCAGCCTTAGAGGTGGTAGGTGCTTGTGGCTCAGGGCTCTATGGCTATAACCCAGTCCTCGATGGCTCACAGTGGGGAGATAGGAAGTGAAGGATCAGGAGTTGGCTCACTGTGTCATAAAGAAAGAATTTCTGGCCACTCGGGCACTTCTGTATCAAAGATAATTTCCAAACAGCTTCATTGTGCTCAGATTTTATTTAGCCTGTTCTCTGTGTCAGACACACAGACCTGGCGTTTTAATGGATTTTAAGTTTTCAACTTGACTTGTCAATATTTGGCTTCATGTACCTGTGTGTAGTTCATGGTTGGGCCAAGGCATTGAGTTTCTTCATTTAGCCAATTATCCACATGAAATGTGCATGCCTGTTCCCACACTGCAGGCACTGACAGATTGGAGCCACACTCTTGCTTATATTGCAGGTCCTTCTGCTGAACTGGTGCAGATAACTCTCTGTTGGGGTGTGAGATGCCAGGTGTGACAATTGCATTGAAATAATACCGCCCCTTTGTCCTTTAAGGTCTGGAGTTAACCTTGCTTTTCTACCAGGAATAAAGGCTGAGCCAGGGTCAAAGTCAAGATTTGCAGTGCAATAGCTTTTCGCCCCTGGATCTTGCTGTGGTGTCTCCCCTTGTACTGTTTCTCACATAGGCTCCTGATGGCCAGTGGTCTGTTTCCTTGGCCTGTTTCTTTAGCATGACCTGGAGACGTGATTTTGTTTAGAAGGCAGTTGTAGATAGAGGTTCTTTGACTTCTCTGTGTTTATTCTGGCTGTGCATCCTTCAAGGACTGGCAGTGGTTTCCTCTGAGTTTGCCTGATGTTTCATGTTACCCAAAGCCAACTGCTTTGTCTTTCTTTATACAGTGAGCCACTTAGCACAGGGCCGGGATGATGCAGGGATCGATGAGGTTTCCCTTGTACTTGAACTCGGGGCCTAGCCCTAGACTGCATTTGCAGCATCCTTCCTTCCATTTGCATCCCTGACTCCAGTCTGCTAGAGGAGGAACAAAGGAACCTTGTCCACATGAAGACCAGGAAGGCCTGTGGGTTGGAACGGTGGTCTTATTGTCTCCTGTAATGACAAGTCCACACATGAGATCACACAGCAGGTGTCCCCAGGCTTTTGTGAATTCAGGCATGCAAACCTCTCCGGGGTCTTAGGTTATGTGAGGTAATGGCAAAGAACAGGTGGTGTAGATGAGCCGGACTGAAAGTACATTCTTTCCTATAACACAGGTGGTGTTTGTATTTCCTTTAAACCTCTTCTGACTATACAGAGTTTCAGAAGTAATTTATAGCCTGTTGATATCCTGAATAAAAAGATACATGCTCATAACAAGAGGGTGCTTTCTCACTGGTAGTTTCAGGTCAGGATGTCAGCATTGCAAGCCTTTGGGCCTGTGTATGAAGAAGCATTGGTATGGCCAGACTGGCCACAGGCTCCCCTTGTTGTGCCTGCAGCCCCTCCCTCCCCTCCCCTCTCTCTCCCTCTTGGGGGAGTGACCCTAGGGAAGTGCTCTACCACTGAGCTCTACCCTAAGCCTTCCTTTTCCTTTTGAGACTGGGTCTTGCTAAATTGCCTAGGCTGGCCTTGAACTTGCTTCATAGCCCAAGCAGATCTTGACTTTGTCTCTCTTGCCTCCGTTTCCCTGAGTACTAGATTACAGTTATCATGTCTGGTTCTTGTTTTACTTTAAAATGACAAAGTACAAAATTCAATGGAGTTATGGAAGAGTCTATTTTCAAAAAGTCTGTGCCCATGGGGGAGGGATGTTTTAGATGACCATGTTTTAGCTTGCCAAGGCAGAGAGAGACCCAGCTTATTCTTGTTAGACCACAGGATTCTCTATCTACCTCTTTCTCCTGGAATGGAGACATGGCCCCACGCTTTCTCTCGAGAGC